CCCCCCCCCCCCCCCCCGCGGCGATAAATAATGACCGGTCCCAAAGAGCAAAGAGGCAAAAGGCTTACTGATGTGTGACAAACGTGACAAACGTGACAGGCCTATTACTTATGTGTTTTGTGGTGATCTTCACTCAAGTGCAAGGCCTTTTTTTCCCCTAAATTCCAACATCAGTTCACCAAAAAATTCAACCTATTGTTATCATACAACTGATCATGGCCTTAATCATCAAAAGCCTATGTTTTTGCGAAGGTCAAGAACGCGCGCGCTTGCGAGCCAGCCAAACGAATGTTGGAAGTCGCGGGATTTGCGCGAACATCCCACTCCGTCGCTTCGCGCCCTTAACGCCTGGCGGCTACTGCACACAATGCTGATGAACCCAAAGAGAGCAAACAGCAATCCATAGCTGCCACTGCCATTTTATTAGCCTCTACATAGACGTTGTTTTTGTTTTCATTCCCGCCCTCGACGATCTCTAAAGAGAAAATAAAGGCTGTTCGAGTCTGTGAACAGGCTACCATTCAATGGTTTAAGGTTTTTGGTGGAAGTAGTGAAGGTTCAAAGGGGAAAAAAAAACATGCTCGTGTGCAAACTCGCTCATCCTGCAGCATATGCTGGTTTACCGGCTGCGAAAGAAAATTCAATGTCTCTAGAACGCAGGTCAGCTTTACGCGTGAAGCAAAGGAGATAGGAGGCGTCTGTACAAAGGCTGGCAGGATTACGATTAGAGTATTACAGATGTATAGTTACATTATAGATAACTTCAGAATGTGCTTAACCTTTATAGTGTCGTCTGGTTGAAGTAGATGGGAACGAGGCAAATACTAGAAGATAACGCTGCTACAGCTTTTAAGATAACCTCTCCTGTGGCCACCCCCGGGGACGAGCCGACTGCCTGTACGGAAACACACTTTAGCGCCGCTCTTTTTTTGGTTTGGTTGGATTTGGTCCTGTCTTGTTTTGTTTTGTTTTGGCAGATTCATTATTAAAGAACTTACGCAACTTCGGCGGTGAGCGGCTTTGGTAAGCAAAAACGACACCTCCGCCGGGTATCGCTGACTATTTTCCGTAAAGTTTAAAATCTCTTCACTGAAAACATGGACTTTGAAGCTGAGCGGAGACGTGAAATGTCCAAACTACTTTTTTTTTTAAAAAAAGTGAACGGCAAGGTTGATAATCTAAAAGAAAGAATGAAAGAATNAGCGCCGCTCTTTTTTTGGTTTGGTTGGATTTGGTCCTGTCTTGTTTTGTTTTGTTTTGGCAGATTCATTATTAAAGAACTTACGCAACTTCGGCGGTGAGCGGCTTTGGTAAGCAAAAACGACACCTCCGCCGGGTATCGCTGACTATTTTCTGTAAAGTTTAAAATCTCTTCACTGAAAACATGGACTTTGAAGCTGAGCGGAGACGTGAAATGTCCAAACTACTTTTTTTTTTAAAAAAAGTGAACGGCAAGGTTGATAATCTAAAAGAAAGAATGAAAGAATGCGAAGTCAGATTTTTCAGTGACGTTAACTAGCGTTGGCAGTGTAGTATTGTAAGCTTCTTTATTTTGACTATTTTTCTCACCCTCGTCAAAGCTGAGCCTTGCGCAGATTCAATCCTTGGTCGGACAAATACTGACTCAGGGTCCTAAAAATAACAGAGGAGAATGTGTTTTCCTTGTTGCGCATCTGAAAATTATGGCTTCCTTTTTTATAGTCGGAAAAAGACGGAAAAACGCAGAGCCAGCACTTTCAACTATCTGATTCTTATGGGAAGTAAAAAAATAACATTAGCGGTAAGCACAGTTCATACATGGAATGCATGGTGGGATTGGGTGGTGAGGGCACCTAACATGGATCCTAAAGTAGGGCTCCCGGCATCTTCCAGATCCAAGCAAGCAACTCCCATTCTAGACCTATGTCACGGCGTTTCCGGGTCTATTTGAGAAACATTTTAGAGCAGTTTTCCCCTTCAAAGTGCAAGCTGTTCACTGGCTCCGCCTCTTCTAATAAGGACGCAATCAAAGTATAAGATATGAAAAAGCAACGCTGAACGTCTTTAAAAGGCCAAAAATACCATTTTCAGGTCTGTAGATAGGTTTTGCTTACTGTTGTGGAACTTAGAAGATTTCCAAATTGGCGCCAAAAGGTTCCAAAAACTAGCTAGCCGATGAAGACACCATGACAAGTGTACACGGAAGGCTCTTGGGCCCATGGTAAAGTTGAAAAATAACGATTTTG